TCACTGCAAAGCAGCACTGTTCGCTTCAGCGATTGAACAGAAAGTGACGACGGAACGAAACGAAATGAGAATGACAGGACAAAGGAAAATTTGAAAATAAGTGGCCAGGAACCAGAGAAAAAGCGATAAAAAGGCGCGATGACGATGGAGGAGGTCGCATCGTCACAGTGTAATGCTAAAAAAACATACAAGAATGGATATGAGTCAAAATACTCTGTTGGTTATGCTGTGTACAATTCCATTGCTAAAATTAGCTCCCGTTTCGCGGCAATGTGAATTGTGCCTTAGGCGTTCTACAGCTAGACTAAAGCTTTGTCATAATTACATCAATCTTGTTCGTTTCAAGTTAACAATAGTTTATTTTTTTACGGCCTAAACAATAATAGCATACGTATTTCATAAGCCAATTACGCAGACCAAGATAAACAATTAATAATAAGAGACTAAACACAGATTATTACATCGTGTAAGAAAGTCTGCAGTCTGCGAGCATGTCATGGATAAACCCACCCAATACACATTCAATTAAAATCGACAAACCCCAGATCCTTGCAAAAGAAGTCCGTTATCTACCTAGGATGCTACCAGGGGCCATTGAAATTAAAAAAACATTCTAATCTCAACAAAGAAGATGGTTTCTCCGTACCACCAGTTTGGAATCCAGTATTTCCTCTGATGAAAAATCCCAAGCAGACCAAAGACTGCTGTACTAATTAATGTGGGATATTTTATATTGAAGGCTACCTTATTATAAACTCTAATTAGGAATTAATATTAGGATGGATAAGAGGGAATGACGAGAGTGAAGGAGGGGAATGAGTGAGTGAGAGAATGAAGTGAACGGCGGCGGGTGACTATAGAGACGGAGAGAGAATTTTGGTTTGTAAGTAATTACAAGTGCTTCAAGTGTTTTGTAAATTAAGGAAAATAAAGGAGAAGAAATTACGACCTGGATTTTATTGTCAAGAAGAAATCTCCCATCCTATACCATATGTTTTAATTTATTCTAGTTTCCAATATTAACCAATTATATATTTAATTTAATAAAAATTCATATTGTTAAAATATTTTGTATGTAGCGTAAATTAGAATGTTCTTTAGAAAATAAAAAATATGATTATTTTTTTTGTTTTTCATGATATCAACTACCGGGACGAACAAATCGTGCGACACGCTTCGAGCGACACACTTGTCCACACCAATTGGCCACTCAGAGCTTTAAATCGCAAAGAACTGAGAAGCAGTGCCACTGCGCCCGTCACCCTGTGCAATATGTTATCAAGTTATGTCTCAAGGTTTCGGGCGCAGTGGACCTCAGATCGTTGTGATTTAAAGCTCTGAGTGACACTGCAACTGTTAGGGACAGACGTGTCGCTTACCACCAGGCACACGACTTGTTCGTCCCGTCACTTAGTAGTATAAAAAAAATGTTGACAAGTCCCATGTGCCTGTAATTTCACCAGCACCTTCAAAACCGGAACAGCAGAAACGACATTGCGGCAGAAATAAGTAAGGTGGCAGTACTGCCTTGGACGAATTCATTCACGAAGAAGCTATACTGTTACTAAAATAAGTATTACGAGTATGTTCGTAGTCATATACCAGTACATTTAATCGAAATTAAAAGACGAAGAAAGTCATTCTATCTGGCTCATATGAACATTATTATTATAATACAATACTTTTTTAGCGTTTTCGTTTATAATATGTCCATAAATGTAGATTCTTTTTATTGTAAATTCTCATTTAATTTGATTGCTTCGATTTTCGCCGTGTACAAATTACATGGGAAAGAATTTGTTATTAAAAACGTGATATCAACTGTATACTGGCTGGGTAAGTTATAACTTAATGAAACTTTAAGTCCGCTATATCAAGGAAGTAGGGTAACTGTACTGACATCGCTAGCATGGCGTCGCGGGGTAGAGGTGCCCGTTATAAATGTCCAACCAATGTTGCTTGATTGAATTCAACACGTGAGCCGAGGGAAAATTGAGATAGCGTCAAATTGGTTATAGGAGCCTAATCGATGTTAGTGAATAGTGGCAGTGCCATATTGGCAACATTCATTATTATTTCGGTAGCAGCAGAGCTCCTTGTGACAGAGTTCGTCCAGGGAAGTACTGCCACCTTACTTATTTCTGTCGCCAAGCAGTAATGTAAGCATTATTACTGCATTCAGGTTATGAAGGGTGGTGAAAGAAATTACAGGCACATAAAGTCTGTATGGATAAGTGTAAACTTGTAAGTTTCAATTGAAAATCAGTGAAGCGTTTAGTGCATTGCGAATTAAAAAATGAACTTTGTAAAATTGCTGACATCATTGCGGTGCAGGAAATCTGGCTACTGAATAATGACCTGCCGCTACTTGGTGGTCTTCTAAGAGGACGCCCGTACGGTGGGGTAGCTTTACTGTGGCGTAAAAGTGCGTTTGAGTCGGTGTCAATTGTGAAGTGTAATAGTGTGCGGATTACGGCAATTAAGGTTGTTACATTGGATCGTTCTTGTCTAGTGTTTTCGGTTTATATGCCTACGGATTGTGCAGGCAGACCTTGCCTGAATTTACGCAGTGCCTATGGGAAATTAGTGCTGTAATTGAAAATAATGACATTGAATCCGTTTTTATATTAGGGGATTTTTATTCACACCCAAACGAATTATTTTGGAACGAACTGATAAGTTTCTGTACATATCAAGACTGGTTGTGTGCAGATATGATAAAAATTAGTACACAAATAAGTAACACATGTTCGTTTGTTAGTGATGTACACACGCCAGCACATCAAGCTACAATTGAGGTATCTTGTTCCGTTGCACTGGAGGCGATTTTCAAACAAAAATGTGTAGTGTGATGTGCCGTTGTCCGTAAATGGTTGCACGAGATGGTTAGACCACTGTGTGGTTACGAGAGCAGGATGGGAGACTGTTGAAGAAGTGAGTGTAAGATATGGCACATATTGGTCTGACCATTTCCCACTGGACGTTACATGTAATGTAAAGGTACTTAGGCCTAAATTTAATTTTGTAAAACAGTGTACGAATAGAATTGTCTAGGAAGAGAGGGATTCGACACAAATAAATGAATATTATAACTTGTGTAACGCGTAACTAAAAGATGTCGGTTTTCCTGAGGGGCTTCGTCAGTGTAACAGTGATACGTGTAACGATACTGCGCACAGGATTCTCTATGGTGATAAGATAAGTCGTGTCTCTCAATTTAAGTACCTGGGTCACTGAGTAACCGATAACTTGCATGATAGTGCCGACATGGAGTGGGAGAGAAGGGCCCTGTCTGTTAGATGTAATATGCTCGCCCGCAGGTTTGCTCGTTGCAACAAAGATGTAAATCTCATTATTTAAAGCACATTGCCAAAACTTTTACACAAGCAACCTGTGGATGAAGTATACGCAGAGAACCCTGAATACATTAAGGGTGCAATATAATAACGCTTTTAGGATGCTAATGGCGTGTCGCGACACTGTCGTGCATGTTCACGGAGGCGCACACAGATGGCTTTCATGCCATTATGCAGAAGAAGACTGTCTCACTCATGATGCGTGTGCGCGGCAGCGCTAATGGCATCCTAGCTGTCGTTGCCAACAGGCTGGACTGCCCCTACCAACTACATTGGGTGCAACTACACGTGCGTAGATTAGTGGTCTAGACGTGGCATTTCACTAGAATTAAGTCATTTTGCATTGTACTAACCATAGCATGTAAGAAAAATTTACTGTATTACTAACATTACTATGGATCATGGTCCGAAATAAATTATTCTATTCTATTCTATTCTAATAAAACCTTTCAACCTGTCTCAGAGTGACGAGCGCAGTGACAGTGCTCCATAGATCTTTGTATTTTAAACTCTGAGTGGCACTGCGACTGTTATGGACCGGCGTGTCGCTTACCATCAGGCCCACGACTTGTTCGTCTACTGTCACTTGGTATTATAAAAAAAAATTACAGCAAGGATGCGTACTAATAAAATAGAAACATTTTTGGAAAAATAAAAATACAATTTTTTTATCGAATCCGAAAAAGATTACGTAACTTTATATCAAGTTTACGAAGACGAAAGCTTGTATTATTCACTGCCGGCGGCGTGAGTAGCGGTTACCGCAAATTACAAAATATTAAATATTCAGTGAAAGTGATAACATCTCGCAGTGATATATGCCATTGTGAAATGTCTGCCTGCAGATATTAATTTCTTCTTTAATCTGTAGATGTTGAGTATAGCCCGCGTTCTCTCTAACTGAGATATATGATGTCGATTGATGATGACTTTTACTACCACTTTATTTATAAACTTATTAATAGCTGATATATTAGAAACCTTGTCATGTTGTGAAAATATAGATAATTCAATATTTATTTATTGAATATCATGACGTTTTATTACCATGATTTTCATAAACTTTTTTGTGAAAATGCACGACTTGTTTATTATTATTGATTTCGAAAACAAGGAAAATTCCTTGGACTGGACTCAAACCAGTGTCTGTTGCCATGCCATGGCCACCGGTTTTAACCAACTGAGTTCAGTGACCTAAGAATTGACCCCCGCATGGAAATTTTCTTCTGACCATTTTGTCTCATTTTACTACTAGTGCTACCAAAGGACTTAAACTTTTAATAATCCTTTGACTCTGTGACTGTGAAGTAACAAAGTGTGTTCTCATGAATTCATTGCTTAGGTATAAACAATGCGCCAACAACCACAATATATCATTTATATAACTTTTATCAATATACCTACATTATTTATTTTGTAAACAGTATTCATTTTATCACTGCGGTGGTTAGAAGTTGTGGTTTGATAAAAACTCTGCATAAAATGCATTTAATATAAATACGATTGTTCCACTGTTTCAATTTACTGTTTATAGAATCAGTGCCACTGTTTGATAAGCGTAAGTGCTCTATATTCGTTTAATTTTAATTTTATTTTTAAATACTGCGGCATATTCACATTTTATACAATTCCACTAAACATTGACGTCCCTCACGGAGCGTTACTAAGTCCAAACTTATTTTCTATGTGCGTATGCATGTATAAAGATATTTTCTATATTTTTGTGATATGACAAATACGTCAATATACCATTTGAATGTCAACGGATTGATGTAATACAGTATATAACTAATACTCTATTACCAATTTTGACTTGATTAATCAATGCTAACTTGAAATGGGACTGGACTGGACACGTCGGTCGCTAGCACCCAGAGAGATGGGCCCACACAGCAAACTTGGTGGATGCCAGAGAACGGCGAGGCAGATCAAGAAGAATTCAGGACTTTCTTGACATTGGAATACAATAATAGGCTAATTTAAAAAAGTCTGAATGTATTCGTACAACACAACAAATTCATAAAAAAAATCATAAACCTCTCTTGCTGTTTTTCAGGTTCGGATCCGTTGTTCTTCTAGCACATTCTTAAGCCAGCATGATACACTCAATTAGTAGTTGGAATCTAGCACGATCGCCTAATTATAAAACCAATACCGACTTACTGTATCCATACTCTGAAGTACCTTACATCGGTAACTACAAACTTGTACGATTGCCATTACCTGACGACAATTTTGTCGATCATGTGGACTATTGGGGAGAAGGTAGAATTAACATAAAGGCGGGATCCAGTGGTTACATAAATTGTTACAATGTAAACCATCAATATCAGCTTGTAAGCAATGGACCTGATCGAGACAAAAAGATTCCAAACAGAATACCTGTCATAAGCTATACGAATTGCAACACTAGCGGTTATATAAAAGATAATTCCGTTAAATTGGTGACTCTTATGGGAGCACCGATCAACAAAAGTTGTGCAGACGATATTGCACGAATAGTAAATTCTCGTGAAGGCAAAGTAATTGTATATGGATTTAAGAGTGATGCACCTGATATAAGGAACCTAGACGCAGCGTTAAAAGAAAAAGGTCTTTACACCTGTGATCGTTACAATCTGAACATGTTGTTAAAAAGTATCACATTGTTTGATGAAAACGACTACAGAGCATACATAAACGTAACTGATTTAGGTGAAGAACTTTATAACAACGTGCTCGATAATAAAATTGAAGATGCTGTAAATATTGCCAATACTTTAAAAAATAATGAAAATGGAAGCAAAATTGTTGAAATCGTTAACAAACTTCTTGAAAATGAAAATAAAAATATTATGGAATTCGCCTTTAACTTGTGGAATACTGACAACAGAGATATTATTACAAATTACTTTCCTATTGCTTTCAAGTTGATTTTCAATAAAGATTTTGTAAAGATAATTAATAAATATAATATGTTTAGTTTAAGAGTGGATGAAACTGAAGACTCTATAAAAGAAAGAATAGTCCTTGGCGATAGAAAGGATAAAGCAAGCGTAAATGTTCGTTGGGAAGTCATTCCAGTCTATGAAAGCAATAGTTTATATTTCAAAATTATGGATATGGAGTATGGTACATTATTAAGACTCGCCGATAATGAAGGAGATAAAAAAGCAAAAGCATCTTCCAACGATGATTCAAAAGCTCATTGGTTACTAGTACCAATCAAAGTTGATGATGATATTCTGTTCTATATTTTAAATAAAGAATATAATCAAGGTTTGAAACTTAGTGACGCGAGTGATGAATATGAAAATAAACAACTTTTTGGACATAACGGATCTGTTCGTGGACATCCTGAGTTGTACGGATGGTTTATTGCTCCGTGGTAAGACAAGGCATATAATAATATACGTATCGAGTAATAAATACAACAATAGTAATATATGTATCACAAAATGTACTCGTTATTATTTTTCCCAATTAAATCCAGATAAAAAGTTTTAAACTAATAAGAGTAAACTATAGATTGAATCATAACAATGTACCGACTCGTCCGAAGAACAGAGTCTGATGTGATTATATAACGAAAATAAGATAAATACACAATATCGTTAGTCATAGTAAGGCCAATCGATACATGTTTTCAGAATTTTTATATCTTATTTCGTTTTAGAAATATAAAATCGAACAGCAGTCGATCTGATACCCACAGTGAAGAACAACGAACGAAATGTACAAAGTTTTGAATAAGCAGTCTTACACATAGGCCTTTGTTCTACGGATGAGTCAATGCATATAAGATACTATACAATATTAAAAAAATACTCTACATTGAACACAAGAACATACATACATAATAAAAACCGTACCGGTAACAGACGACCTTATAGTCAGATAGTAATCTTCCAGAAAATTTCTCAGTGTAACCATCATATCTATGGTTATAACTGAGAAATTGCCTGGAATCTGAAATCCTGTAGGTAATAATAATAAATTAAGGGCGCAACTAATGCTCACCACCATATTTATAAATTACCACAAAAGAAGGAAAGGACCCTTACTTCCTCCAGGAGTGTAAAAAAAATAACAACAAAGCAACAATGCGTAAAAGATGTGCTTCATTAATGCCCATGGGTGAGGAGCAGCTCCAATAGTATCCTAAAAATGATGTCCACTAGGCCTGACTGTCCGCTTATGACGCGATTTCTCGTGGCATCGCAAAGCGGTGATTAAATTAGTAACTAATATTATAGTACAATTTTTATAGACATAACTAACATAGCTATGTATTAACAAGTTATAGATCTAAATTATCGAAACAGTAAGGGTAGGAGCAAAGAAAAATTAAAGTACAAGATACCAAACTTACGTTAGCAGCATTATTTAAATCGACGACGGTCACCAGTGACCCAGTGGTTAGCACTGTTGGTGGTAAATGAGGTCTCAGTTTCGATTCCCGATAATAACTATTTGGGGAACAAACTTTCCTAATTGATTTTATTCAGCGCGTTCAGGGTAGTACTCTGGAGTGAATTTCGTTGCTCTTGTACCATAAAGTGATCTTTAGTTTGCTTTATACCATTGTTTTTTGTTACAGCCTTCCTTACCTTCATACAATAAAATTATGTGGACCCAGGGTTAGTCTCATTATTACGCAAGACCTGCGTAACAACTTTAATATACCAAGGGGACGGAATGAGGATACAGTGATCCCTTCAAGTGAGAGTGCAAAATGTCAGAATCGTACATAACGTGTAACATTGACCCAGTTATTAGCCACGGTTGTCGATGCAAACAAGACTGGTCGTGCGCACGCTATCCTTACGGTAAAGTCAGTTTGACGTTTTCGTATCGGCTCACGCGCATATAACACGCAAAGACATAGTGCTCGATTTGGATAGGTGAAATTTGCATTCTAAACGTATTCTGATTTACAACGATACCTTTTTAATAACCGAGTCTATTATTATAGTATCCAAGATACGTACCCGAACCGAATAAAAAAAAACCAAATTAGTGTACATACACACAAGACGCATTAAACTAATTACTAAATTCGTACATAACATGCAAAATTATGCACTAAGCTATCTCAATAATGTGTAATTAAGATGCGCAAATGAAGTCAACGTAATTTGACCACTTGTTTAATTAATGCGGCTATAAAAAGAAAGCATTAAGGCCCATTTTCTACCAAAGCGGAGCGTAGAAGGAATTTAATGTTTTAACTACCAATAATAATAATAATCATAATAAAGGTTATTTTCTCACCACAATATAGGTACATTGAGAATAATAACAAACACTATTCAAAACAAAAAGGAAAGAATTATATTGTGAGAGACTGGTGCCTAAACTAGACTATTTCAGGTCTGTATTTCAGGTCACCAGGACTCCACCCTTAGGAAAATAGATAATTGCGATTATTAAATGATCCACTTAAATTAAAGTTCACAAAGGAATAAAAAACATAAAATAAAAAGAAAAAATATTGTTTGGGCAGTGTTAGTATTGTTAGTATTTGTTATTTGTGTATATGTGTTTTAAGTGTGCGTGTAAATATGTGTGTGTGCGCGTGCGGGCGTGCATGCGTGCGTGCGTTTGTGTGTGTAATGAAGGTGGGTGATTGTTGTGCATGTAATTATGTGAGAGGATATGAGTGTGCGAGAACGAGGGAATTGAAATATGATTAGACGAGTGATGGTGTGCTGCCAAGGAAAGTTTTCTTATTAAATAAGTAAAATAATTAAAATAAAACAAAATAATTCACATCTGAAATGATTATACTGGGACAGTAATTAGTAGTTCCGTATCCTCATATGTCAACTCCTGAAGCCAATATTTTACTTTCATTTTGCACTTTATCTTACCGAAAGTTTCGTATTTAATTTATTATAGAGAAAGCGACCAAGAAAGCAAAAGAAGCGTTTAGAAAACATAGTGTTGAGCCGATAATGATGACGGTCCACAGGGTTGATCCGTCTTTTCCCACGAGACAGGGAGAGGTTATACATAAGGAATCCACGCTGTTTTAGTACCGTTTGTAATATAAACAGCTGACGTACAGCTAAAACTTTAGCCTCTTTGTTTAAGAGAGAAGTGGGGCATCGAAAAGGGCGGAAAGAAGGTACCTTCAGAATAGCTCTCTGCGTTCTTTCTAGTTCCAAGATTGTACGTTTTGGAGCACCACCTCAAGATGCTATGCAGTAAGTAAGTAGGGATTAGACGAGAGCAAGATAAACTACTTTCCTTAGTTTTTCATCGGCTACGAATCTCAGGGCCCTAAATACATATATCAATTTACGTAGTCTATTATTTAGAGTGTTAATGTGCTCCTGGAAACTTAACGTGTTATCCAAGATTACACCTAAGTACTTTATACTGTCAACTTTGTGGATGCGCGTGCAGGTACATGCATTGTCATTTTGATTATGACAAATTTGGGCTATCACCGAAAGCAGAAGCAATAAAGCATTGTTTTTTTTTCTTAAGGAGAATGTGATATATTTAGTTTTTTTTTACGTTTAGTGTGAGTATATTATTATGCAGCCATTTCGTCACTACAATAAAGCCTGTCTGAGCCTGCGCATATACTTCGTGCCAAGAATTAGCGTTAAAAAGAAGGATAGTATCATCTGCAACGGTTATAATTTTACATTTAGGGGGAGTAATCATTCCCAACTCCTTGATGTACATAAAAAAGAGAGTAGGACCAAGTACGCTGCCCTGTGGCATGCCGTAGGTGATAGCACACTCTTCGCTGATGACGTCATCAATCTTAACGTACTGGGCGTACCCAGTGATCGTAATCACTTAGATAGTTCTCGAATAAGTTGAATACCCCGGATTCCCATTATTTCCATTTTCCTAATGAGAATAGGCACAGAGACAGTGTCAAAAGCTTTAGCAAGATCCAGAAAAATGCCAAAAACCTTCTGCTCACCATCTATGTTTGTGACAACAAAGTTTGTCAAATCACGAACAGCATCAACCGTGGATTTGCCAGCCCCAAAGCCATACTGTGAAGGTGACAGTATGTTGCTCTTCTCTAAAAAGTTCACGAGCTTGTTGTTCATGATTCTTTCCAGTATTTCCGATAGGCCAGGAAGCACAGCTATGGATCTATAGTTGTTGACACTGTCTCTATCCCCACTTTTATAGATAGGGTGTATTAATGCAATTGCAATTTAAAAGATTAAACGGTTTTGGAAACTGGCCCGATGCAAGTGCGAGGTTGCATATGTACGTAATGAGTAGTACTACTACATTTAAATGTTTTTTAGTAGACCACTGGTAATTCTGTCCCATCCCATAGCGTTACGTAGGGATATAATCAACTGAGCAACTTCCTTTTCATCTTTCTTCCGTCGGTAAAATGCCATGGAGTTATATGTAGTAACATGGTATAAATTTATACCTGTCGGCGTAAATCTTATTATAAGTAGATAAAAAGTTGAATAAAAAATAATAAACGCTCTTGTTTGTCATCACTCATCGAGCAAGCTTTAAAATATATCTTATTTTTTGGTTTTAGTTTAGTTTTCATTTTAATAGACTTCGACATTATTCATAAGAATATTACGTATCTGTTTCAAAATGTAGAGTCTCGTACTTAAACAATAAACTAAGGTAAATGTACCAATCTCTGACACTGTCCCAATGAATTACACTTTTGCATTTTTTCTCAAAAAGAAGAAAACAAATATTGATATTACTCCAAAACCATGTTAAAAGTACTAGTAACGACATCTATAAATTTAATTTAAACGTTTTCATCGATTTATTCAATATTTTTTGAACATGACGAAAGTCTTTGCGAGCAGGTGATCGGAGTGTAACGTACGTCGCTCTTGTTATAGAAATCGTTAAGACTTAGAGTAGTTTAAGTGAATTTATCAGTCGGAATATTATTAATTACCGGTAAGTGTTTATTAAAACTATTAGATAACTGTAAAAACAATTAATTTTGTGTGTATTTATTGATGTATATCGATTATATTTTATTTTAGAGGCATGTCAAACACTGGTGCAAAATTTTAATGTTTACTAGTAGCTGACACCCATGTCAAGCACTCGTATATATGAATATTTTTTTAAACTTAATTTCGACCATTTGGTAAAGATGGAGAACATAAGTTTGGATTACTCTGTTAGTGACAAATTTCTACGGGTAGTTTGAGTAGTGTTTGATATGGATGTCAAAGACTGTTTTACTATAGGGACCCAATAATTGACAGTTGTATATTGAGGTGTCAATCACTAGGACGTAACTAGTGCCAACTATTGGTTACAGGTATTTAAGGTATTTAATTACGGTATTTAATTACAGGTAGGTAACAATACCTGTATTGTTCAATGAAAAAATGCCATTAAGGCTGTCGCCTTATTC